GGGGGAGTAAGGCAGACCGACAGTAACAACGACGGGAAAAGTAAAGAAGTAGGACGTACTAGTGGCGCCCTCCAATCACCCGCCATTGCTTTTGAGAAACGTATCGGGAAGATAACGGCTATTTGCTGCAGGAAAAAAGCCAGCAAGACTGGAGGCCAGACAGAAACAACAGAGGGAAAGAAGAGAAGTGAGAGGACCAGATTCTGCTCCCTCCGACCCCCCACACACGTATAGTTATAGATTCCTTCAGAACAATAACTGTTGTTACTTTTCTCCGACTAACTTGATTCCATCTCAACAAACAGGCCAATGAACAGAAAAAACGTGTACGTTTGATAATGATTTTGCCAAACGTTTCGCCGAGAGTTTGCCGAGGTATGAGACCTTTATTTTCGCCTTACTTCCTGCACAAAACTAAGTCTAAATTGAAATAATGTAGGAGTTTTTTTACGCTCCCATCGACATAAGTTAGGTTGTTAAAGAGCCGGGCTTCGTCCCTGCCGGTCAGGGCCAAAACGGACTTTTTAGTTTTTAAAAGTTTTAGTAGAGGTTTTACGGCGCTCGCAACTGCATAAGGAAACAACAAATAAAGCCAGAAGATTAGAGGTGTTACAAGACGGTGAAACATAAAAAAGAAGAAGAGGAGATAAGGACGGTATATGCTTGATAGGAAAGAAGAAGCAAACCACACTAGAGCACCCGCCAACCACCCACCAAAACGGACTGAGAGGGATACAACGTCCCCCCCAGGAGAAAGACTGAGATACCCAGTAAAAAATTCTCCCCTCACAGGAATCAAACTCGGGTCTTGTTCATGCGACGAAGAAGCAGCACCCGACTGCTACACCACGGACACCAGTAAACTATGTTTCATTTCTTTGTGAGTATGCCTAGGCATATAACCACACTTGAATCAAGTATGTCTGATCCTCATCTCTCCCTGGGTATGTCCATCTACTAGTATCCACAAATATTCACATGAACTAGTAATAGTCCACGCCCACACATGGCCATCTGAATGTGCCAAGCCATCGATAAGAAAATCAACTATCAACCCTCCAATAAAAACAACTGGAAAACAAAGACGCATCCATAGTGCAACAACAATAACAAAAACAATATACTATATATCATCTACAAAAATAACACCCCTAGAACCTGTAAAGGGGGCTCTCGTGGCCTAGAGTAGAAGTTAAGGTGTTGGCCTCTCATTCAAAGGTCCCGGGTTCGAATCCGGGTAGCGACCGAAACATTTTCTTCTCTAAAATTGTCTCCTTTCACCTCCTTTCCCGCTCTCTAGCAATGTTCTGTTGTCTGCTTTCATTTCCATTTTCTGCCCCCACCCCCTCACCTCCTTTGCCCCCTCCTCTGGGCTCCTGACTCTTTCT